TTTTGGTTTTATTACCTTTCTTTGAACATAAATCGAGCATGATTCGAGACGTTGGATAAATCTGTATAATAAATTAAATATGAGGTATCATTTCATAAAGAATGTTTCGAATTTTGAGTATCTTGTACTCATTAAGTTTTCGACGTCCAGTTAGACGTCAAAGATCGGATGCTGCTTCGAAACACTCTTCGTAGTCAAGATAACTAATCTGGATTTTATGTCTTCTACAATGTTTGTTGATGATTCGATGGACAAACATAGAATACGGAAGATCAGAGTTGAAGTCTTTATTTGAGCTGCGAAAGTAACAGTCAAACAACCTTTCCACCTTCAGAGAAGACTAGAAGATTACTGCAAGTTCTCGAAATCGTTTTCCTTGTCAATATGGTCCACATCTGCTTTTTTGGACAGAGCAGGATTGCGTCACTGGGGAATAGGTTCGCTCAAATCAAAAAACTAAATACGTTTTTCCTTGTTGTAACTTGGAGAGACTAATTGAGACTTTGTGGACATCCAGCGATAAAGCCTGGAAGTTTTATTCCAGAAAAAAATTATCTTCGGTGGATAACACCTCTGCGACTTTAGCACGCGTTCATAATTGCATTAAAAACGCCTGCATCGAAGAGTATTCTGATTAGTAAACGGAATATAGGATGCTGTATGTCCAGAGGATGCCGATGCTGTTTAGCCGAACGTCGATATGTCATTTTGTCATTACCTTCATTCTGAGGACCTCATACATAACACAAAATTCACATTAATGGATTGGCATTACACGCAACTTCGTGGCATGTGCACTTTTTTTATAACTATAGGATTTATGAACATTCATAACTACCGAATAATTCACGCAAGAAGCATTGAATATTAAGATATTTTACTGCTGTATTCAAGTAGTACTGAAATACTCAGTTTATGATAATTCGGGGAAGCAAAACGTCGCTTTTGTGTGAAAATGCTAAAGAAACTAATGTCTCCAAAGTGATTATTAATTTTTAACCATTTATTTAATTTTATTGTTTCGCAGTTGGGAGCATAAATAATTCAAAACCGAATCGATCACATAGTTTGTCTTTCAATGGAAGTCTTTCAATGCAGTCTTAGAGGAAATCTTTTTCATCCTTGAATCTGAAAATCATGAGTGAAGAGGAATGGACCATACGTAAATAAGCTATTATTTTTCGACCATATTATAATTCTTCCAACGCATGCAATTAATAAACACAAGAATTCAAAAACTGTACGAGGTAGAGTCCAGCCCAAATATATTTTATGAAGTCTCCGGTCATGTTTAATAAATCGCTTCTATCTCGGTGGATCCAATATCGACGGGCTGGCAAAATTTTTTCCGCCAGCAACAGATGACTAATAGCGGCAAACACATGACCAACTCTAGGAATTCAAGAGAAAAATAAAAGTTATACAGATGCAAGATTGAAAATGTTCTTATTTCAAAAACCACTTTTGTAATGTAATGTGGCTTGTAATGTAAGGCCTTCGATCAGTGCGTTGACCCTGAGAGTAAATGTTCAGAAACGAAGAACGATTCAATATGCATGGAAACGCGCATGTTAGGAGTATTCGATTACCCTCATATGTGCTATTTTTGAAACGATTGTTTATGTGTATGCCATGTTTGTAATATTGAAAATCAGTTTCTCCCTGGTTACATCTGAACAGTAAAAATCTTGACCGATAAAGTTGTTTTAAAGGATCGCTGGTGTGGCGAAACTTGGCCAGCTTCTGAATATGGAAATAGAGGATATCTCGTGTTGTAGGCTGTTCCTTCTCTGGGGCAAGAGAGCACAACTGCAAATCTGAGCATTTGGTTAGAATGCTGAAGGAAAGAGGGCGAAGGGGCAAATAAGGTGCGAGACTGGTAGATTGTATCGAACATACGGCATACGACATTTCTGACCCTTAGAATGTGCCCATTGAGCTTATCTGCGTTGTGGATGACGGGGCCGTTAGAAAATTCACGACGTTACCGCCCAAACAATTCGAAATGACTATTGCTTCAGGCTGTGAAAAAGAATGGAATGCGAACCCTTCGGGAAATGGATTGCACGAGGCGCAACTCAAGCTGTATGCTTACTCACCGATCTCCGGAATAACGAACCGGAAGCAGAGAGAAGGTGGATTTTCTTCTACCTTTCATTTGTCGCTTAGTAGCACATCACTGAAGATGGATAGTCACTAGTCAGTGCAAAGCAAGCTTTCAACAATCTGTGTACTTCTGCAGTGCCGCCGTTTGACCTATAAAACGGCTTAGGCTGTATTCGAGGTGCTGATACACAGTCTGCGAACCGACTGTTGTCATGAAGCGTCAAGAAGCAAACGTCCAACAACGCAGTCTAAGCAGTGCTCTCAAAATGCGATGGTACAGTAGGGTCACAACTAGCAGGTGCTGATAAACACTGTTCTGAGAAAACAATCACATAAACTGAGAGGCCGGCGCCTGGCATGGCGTTTTTGTCGAAACGGCCCAAAAAGAGAATAAAATTATATTTTACATAATATTACATATTAATTTTTTCTCTCTTGGAAATTGTGCTTTGGTAGCAGACGCGCTGGATGACAATGCAACATGCATCGTTAAGCAGACCTGTTTGAGCAGAGGAACAGAACCTGTCGCAGCAGGAACAGGGAACGTTGCCTAATATCCACAATTGTCGGTGCAGTTTCTAACGGTGAGACGCAAATAGCCTCATACTGCTCTACAACGCAATGTAAAGACTTCTATCTGTCTTACATTAACGTAGGAAGACTCTTGATTCTTTATATGATTAGTGTTTGCTGTGTAAATCCGGCATCAGTATTTAAAATGTAGCATCCACCGGCAATAGAGAAAGCGCTCAGTCGTGGAAGTTAACCCAGAACATAGGGCTATATCTTGTTTTATTTAAATAATGGATCTAGGGTACTCTCTAGGTTCTGTCAACTTCAAATGACGATAGCAAAACAACAA